CACTGGAAATGGCCTAGCAGTGTGTCTTAAAGCAACACTTTCTTCCATGCCCTGCCTCCTAGGACAAGTGGCACTTGGGATATTCAGGGTCCTGTTTTGCCGTCATTAAGGGCTGGTTCTGCCTGGTGCCACACCTGAGAGACATCTCACTTGGCCACCATTCACAGGGTGGACAGAAGGCAGCAGGGGGAGAGGTTTTGCACTAAGTATCTCATGAGGACTACCTTCAGTATTTGGTCCAAGTTCTGAGGATAAAGCCAAGAATTTTATTTTTATTTTTTCTTCATCAACTTCGTCCCTATTTTTCTCCCTGACATTGGAGAGAGGTTTTAGTTTGGTGCTTAACAGGTATTTCAACATGTTGCTGTGGAAGAGGCAAAACAGGAAACAGGCTTTCTTTAAGCAACTTAAAGATAGGTGCCTGTTAAGCTATCCCACCACTTCTGTTCATTGATCTGCATTTTGAGTGCTGTCCTGTCTCTAACCTCTCCTTTCTTGATATGGTTGTTACCAAGATTGTCCTGGGGCAACCCTAACTTAGCACAGTATTCTTGCATTTCTTCCCTCTCTTCCCGGATGAGCGTGACATATGGCCTCTAGTTCTGCTAGGGGATAAGCAGCTCTGGAGGTGACCAAAGAAAGGTCAAAACCTCAGGCAGAATCTTTGATCTATCAGCAGCTTTTGATTCGTTAGATCAAGAAACGTATTGACCTGTTTGTGAATCCTGGCTATGGCTATGGTCTGAATAGCTCTTTGGGCAATTTGAAAGGGAGTGTGTAAGATTCACTGGGGTGATGCTGGCTTGATTTTGACTCACTGCCTCCTACTCTATTGCTATCAAAGTCTGCATGTTGGGCAAGGCAAGAGCTGATGTGGGCTGTGTGGCTATGCATACACAGATAAGTCATGTATCTGCATCTGCACTTGAGCAGATCTGCATGTCATCCCTCTGACATGGACTTTGTCACAGTCACACCTGCCCATGGGGCATTTGATTGGGATTGCAGTTGCTCAGAAACTGCAGCCAGTTCAGTATAAGGCCATGACTCAGCAGTGCTAGTTATGAGGAATGTGGTCTCTGCAGCCTTTGCTGCTTCCAAATTGATTTCAGGTGCACGTCACACTGTCAGACTCACAAAATTCCCCCTGATTTTTTTCATTTCTGGCTGCTGAGCATCACCAGACCATGACCAATAGGATAAGTGGAAATCTCTTATTCACTGATGTGTACTTGGATTACCATTCCCAAAACAAACGTGGTAGAGGAGGATCTGTGCCTCACTCATCAGCTACTTTTTGGAAAAGTTAGTATCTCATCTTAAACTGTCTCTGAAGATGGGTTCATGCTGGACGTTTGTATAGAAGCAGCTGAGGTGTAGGCATATGTTCCCTTCTGCTGACTTGGCTGTGGTGACGCTAACTGTAGCCAGCAAAGAAGAGCAAGCAACTGGGAACAGTAACATCTCAAACTGCAGCAGAAAGATTGGCCAGACCTCTCCTGTCAGCACTTGGATTCCCTTGATGTTCATTGAGGAATTAAAAGTTAACTGAGGGTGGTGGCAAAAAATAGATTGGCCTGCCTAGAAAACGTTAAACCTGAAAATGTTAATACTGAAAAGCAGAGGTGGATCTGAAGGCACTTATCTCTCTTGGAATTTATATAGGGATTAAAACACACATCATCCTTGTAGCACATACGCAATTTTATAATCACTTCTTTTGTTTCACCTCAGGGTACTCTGTGGGGTGAAGAATTAATTTCCCACCTCTTTCTAAGGAATAGAGTCCTGGGATTTGCTGTCAGTCATAAAGGAGAGTTTGTGGCCAAACTACATGTTTTCTGGACCTCAGAAGTGATTGAACGGGCTGGGATGGGTGAAGGTGTACCACCACATTTCTGGAAATTAAACAGGGGAAACATGCATACAGAGAAATGCCACAAGATGCTATATGGCCATTTCACTTCCACACCAACAGGAAAAGATGCATTAGAAAAACTGCTGTGCAAAGCAGTGGCTGAAAAATTAAAATACAGGATGTTTAATTACATGCAATGTGATGCCTCCTTTCTCCCCCCACATCTCTACTTGTTAATGAAAAGGCACCTAATCTTAAGTAACAAGCAGGGGGTTAAAGTGTCATCTTTGCGCAACGCCATCCGCCACCCCAGCAAAATTGCCAGCAGTTAAAAGATATAAACAGGGACGTTTTGGGAGAAAAGCATATTGAAGTTCCTTTGAAATGTGCTTGGATAAAGGAATATTTTGAAGAGCGGGAGTGGAAAAACAAATGGAAAATATTTTCTTTGAAAGGGAAAAAAAAAGCAACAAACTGTCCTTCCTAAATAGAGATACTTGGCTGGTGTGTACTTTATGCAGCTGTAGGTCAGACCTTGCAAACAAGTACTAAATTAGGTTCAACTACTTTGATGCTAAAAGCATGGAAGTGCCAGTAATTAAGTTGCATCAAATGTAGGAAATGACTGATGTGTCTGCCATGCTGAAGATAGCAGAGTTCACTGTGCTGCCATTTGACTGACCCCTTTTTATTTATGTAAGCAAAAGGAATTTTCTTCTAAGGAAAATCAGCTGGTTTTACACCTTTCTTTTGTTTTCTGAACAGCTAATCCCCTAAAGGTATAGAAGCTATTTGAAAGAGCAAATCAAAGCCGCCATAATTTAGTGTTTTATTATTTGTTGATGTATGGTTTGATTTAGTGGCTACTTATTATATCAGGTTACCATATAATTATCTTAATTATTGACTCCAAAGTAAGTAGAGGGATTATGAGAGAGACAGGAAGGCCCAGTGGAAAGAGCATGGCTCAGAGAATCGAACACATCGCAGTGTGCTCTTGGCTCCACCATTCATTTACTCTGAGCCGGAACTCTTCCTTCAGCCATGAAATCAGGAGGGATTGCAGGGACAGGACGCAGATGCTGACGCAGGATTCAAAGAGATGCAGGAGAGCAGTATGAAAAGGACAGAGGAAAGTTCTGAAAGAGAGATGTAAATTTCGCAAGAAACAAATAAAAAAATGAATACACACCACAGCATGCATTGTCATCGAAGCACGGAGCAAACTATGTAGTCATGGAGAAAGGTGGTTTTGCCACAAAGACCTGAAATTTAAGCCTGATCACGGTTCATTTCCAGCCTCTGATACCAATTTCCCATGTGAAATCAGGAAGCCCTTGGATCCCTTTCTGCAAAACAAAGCTGCTAAAAATCATCCTTCTGTCTTTGTTTTTAGCTACTCACATTATTGGAGCACAGCTCCTAGCACAGCCTTCAGCCATGGTTCTCATGACATTGTGGTCATTTGGGGCTTTTAGTCTCCTAGTCCTTTTTCTGATAACCATCGACCTAAGCCAAAGGGTTGAGTTAGTAGACACTACTGCAATAAAAAAGCAACATTGAAAGGCTGTCAGTGTAGTCTGTGCTTCCTGTATTGATAATATTTGACATATACTGACAAAATGCTTCATCTATTGACAAACTGAGTTGCATTTTTTTCTCTACGATAGAAGCAGACACACTGGTTCTGCTCAGCTTGTGCAAATTACTTTTTCTGCTTTTCCTTTTCTTTCCTGAGCCCCAAACCGGGGATAATAGAATGTATCTATTTCCTGCCTAGAAAAGATCAGTTAATGTGAAATGGTGCATGGTGGCTTAGTGCTGAATAAGTGGGTTACTCTAATCCAGCAAGGTATCCTTGTTCTATTGTACGCCTTTTCTGCATACCATCTGGAGTTGTTCTCTGCTTAGTATTTTCAGTATGTACCATATGTTTTTGCATGAAAATTCAATAAAATATGCATTATACATGAAAAGTGCTGTAGTAAATAAAGGAAGGATGGAATCCAGTCCCCTTCATGAACGGCAGGGGCCCCAAATCTTCATAAAAGGTTTAGTCTAGTCTGACGTCTGTGCTTTTCTCCAATTTACTCTGTGTCAGTCTTTAGGAGATGCTCTAATTTAAAACAAAACTCTGCTTTCCTGACGAGGTTATTAGATGTACTTTGGCTGCCCTCTGCTGAGAGCACTGAATAAGACAGGGGAATTGTCCTTTTACCAGGAAAGGAAAAAGTGGGAGAAATTCTCTGTCCACGCACTGAGTCGTATCACTGCTGCTGGTGGTCATCTGTGGTTTGGTGTCTGTCACTGCTGCCTGGCAGAGGGCAAAGTCTTCCAAGCTACAGTCCTGTTTGGGTTTTAGTGACCCCCAGTTGTTGTCAAGGGGCAGGTGCTTTTGTAGACCAACAAACCATGTGTGTGGGCTCAGGTATTTGCCTGCCATGCAAAATTAAGCAGCGTTACACAAGGGGCAGCCATGGAAGGAAAGAGACTTCTCTCCCCAGGCACTATTGCAATCCTTCCAAGTGGGATTTGAGCTGTTTGAGCCCCCTCTACTCCCTGTCTACTGAGCAGTGCAGTTCACCACTGTGTGCTGCTCCTCATCAGTGTGCCCGTTCCTTCCAGTGCCATCTCCCACCCCCCTGCAGGCATCACAGCATTAACACTTTGGTTCATTTCTATAACTGGGGAAGGGTTTGCTCCAACCTCAACAAGAATAACTGAAGGACCTGCTATTTCTTGTGAACAAAACACTCCTGGTCTGCCATGCTCTTGTCTTTGGGAAGACACAAGGGTCCTGTGAAGATTTTAGTGCATGTATGAAACAATAGCTCTGTTGTAGCTATTAACGCTCTCTGTAATACTCTGTTTCTAATAATTCCTAGCAAGCTGATTTATTATTATATCTTCAGCTGGGCTGCACACCAAAGCATTTTGATGATGAAATGAATGTTATACACACATTTAATTACTGCCCACATTTTTGGATAATTTTATCATTTACTGTTTTAGATGAGACATTGAGTTCTTCTACAGGAAAAATGCCCAGTAAAAAAAAATGGATGGTTTAAAACTCATCTGACATGAGTTTGGCACTTAAATGTAAGAAAATGTAATTGTTCCTTTCTCCCTGCCTTTTCAGGTGCTTCCTGATTACAACAATGTACAAGAACTCCCTTATCTGGACATGGTGATTGCAGAGACACTGCGCATGTACCCACCTGCATTCAGGTATTCTTTTTTTTTCCACTTCTGATTCCACAGGGTAGATTCCTAGCTCTATAAAATGGAAATCTGCTGTTGGAAGACCAATGTGCCCTTGGTCTCTGTGCCAATGTCAATACTGCTTGTGCATTTGAAAGATATAAAATAGCCTATCGAAGGAAAACTGGCCAATACTGGTATTTCTAAAGCGCTTTTTTACAACATACAGGCCAAGATTGTTTCCTCACCGTTCTTCACATCCCCCAAGGCTAGAGGATGGAGCCATTTTGCAGCAGGACTGGCTGCAAAGCTGGATGGTGCTGCTTCCATATGCCTCAGGCTTTAGGGATATGGAACAAAGACCTACCCTAGCCTGTTCGTCATTAAAGCCTTGATCTGTGGAAGTGTTGCACACTCAGAAAGCTGTATTTTACATGTGTGTTTAACTTGGGCCTCTACCGATTTGCACTTTGTGCTGTATTATACTAATATAACTAAATGTAGCTAATGGCTACAGCCATTATAGTTTGAAAGTTTTGCCCCAATTCACACAAGACTAATCTTATTAAGTTATATTGATGAACTAAAGAAAATAAGCTAGAAAACTGTCAAATTTCCAAGTTATCACAAGATAAATTCAAATGTTAAGAATGGAGCTTTTCGAAGTGGCCAGCCAATTGCACTGCTCCTCATGAAGCTGGGAAAAATGTGGAAAGAAGACAAAACTGAACTTGCTGTGAGAGCCTCTGAAAAGTTTATCCCATGACAGCAAGCACCTTAAGAGAAAAAAGCTTAAAATCATACTCTCTTTTATATGTTCACAAAGACCAGAAGTCAGGACTTCTCCATGGAAGTCTGCAGAATTGTTCAGAGACAAGCAAAAAATATTGTCATAGATATTTGCTCTTGGATGAGATGACTGGGCTTTACTATGTTATACATGGCGTAATGTAAGTAGAAATTGTTTTGCCAGTTAAAGCATCTGAGATCTTTGAGCTTCAGCTGAAACACTGGGAAACAATCAATGCTTGTCAGATAGGAAATAAAATGAGAATGGAGCAAAGTTGTTCCAAAGTTTCAGTTGGCATTGTCAGTGGTGTTTATTGATTTGGCTTTTGTTCTGATGGATGGGGAACGGCTAGGACAGCCCAGTACCTCAGAATGTTAATTGCTTGTGACAAAGATAATGCTGAGTTAGGGGAAAAGTCAGTAGCAGCCAAGCTTATTATGAGTTGTTTTATTAAAAAATGAACTTAATAGCCAGAGAACTTTCTTCCCCAGAACTCATGTTTCCACTATCACCAAATTCATGTAAGGATGGGAAGGATGGCTTGTCAATGTGTTTTTTAGCATGCCAGTCTTTTGTTCCAGCTTTGGAGCCTCTTATTATTTATTTATCTATAAGAAAGACAGAGATGTATGACAGCGAGGAAAGAATGTGTTCCTGTAATGATACCGGACTGACAGTCCTGAAACTGAAATCTTTGTTCTACTTCTTAGGCACAGTACAGGGAGCAGCAAAGGGAGCTCCTGCATTTGTTCTCACCCCTGTGCTCCAAGCTAGTACTGGGGAATAGCACCTAGGCTGAGATAGCAGGGCACTCATCTGGGTCTGGGCTGGTTTGCGGTCTGCAGTGACCACACAAGCACCAAAAGAGCTGGATCAGGATCTGCCACCATACAAGTGCACCCACACGCTATTTCTTAGAAGGTTTACACACCCAAGCTGAGCTTTGGCAGGTGGCTTTTCTTAGTCTTCTTGTCATGATAAGGCTGCTAAGGACAGTCCTACTCTGTCACCTATCACCACAAGATGTGAGGAAATCGCAGAGTTTTGTTGTGAGCATCATGCCTGTCTTTGATGAGCGTATGTGAAGTAACTTTCCAAAGCTTGTGAATTAGTTGTGTTTTTGTAGCAGCAGCAGCAGAACACTTAGCCCTAATATAAAAAACATCCCTTGCTAAGTTTCACTTGCTGTCCCAACATGGGGAAGCTTCTCAAATAAACAAGCTCAAAACTATATTTGATCCAATTTTCTCCTGAAAGCAAACCAGCATAATCTTTCTGTCTGTTAGAGATGACTGACACATTTCATCTGCAGTTTTCGTAAAGAATCAGCCTAAAACCAACTTTAGCAACAAAATTGTAGTCTGACAGTAAATGTTTGGGGAAAACTAAGCAACCAGAAATGCTTCACTGTTAAAAGGACAAAAGTTAGCCAGCTGGGTTGGAGCTGTGTGCTTGTAGGTGGAGATGATTGTAACCAGAGAAGACACTAGCATCAGCAATGGTATTTACCTGCTGGGAATGTGTTACTTCTGAAATCGCAGGGTCAGTCCAGCTAAGAGATTTATTTTATGGTTCCCTCCAACTGAACTTTTACCTTTATTAATCATCTGGGATACATGACACTTACCGTTTCAGGTTTACTCGGGAAGCAGCTAAAGACTGTGTAGTGCTGGGGCAGCGTATTCCAGCTGGGGCTGTCATTGAAACTGCAGTTGGACATCTCCACCACAACCCTGAGTTCTGGCCAGAGCCTGAGAAGTTCATCCCTGAGAGGTACATGGGGTTATGCTTTCCATTCTTAGGTTGAAGTCCTTATTTCATCATAGAATGGTTAGGGTTGGAAAGGACCTTAAGGTTATCTAGTTCCAACTGGGTGTCTTTAGATCAAAGGCCTGCCTTAAATGCTGTTTTACACATAAGGGTGGGCAGAGGACTCCAGCCTATCCAGTGGAGACACCAGATTCTGATGGTCCTTCACAGCCACAGCCACCCACTATTCACCCAAAGCTGAATTTCCACCAAGAGGAGCAGACTTTAATTTAGGTCATAAAAATGTTATTTCCACCAAATACCCACAGAGGGTGTGAGGTTTGGTCGAGGTTGAAATGTGGTGCAGTGTTTCAGACCTGTTCCCAAATCAGGTGCTGCAAATAGTGTCTCCTCCAGATGAGAAATTCTGAAGTGAGATAGTATATTCACTGGCATGGAGGTACTCATGAAACTTGTCCAGCTCCTGGCTGGTCTAGAGCAGTCGTTTCACCTGAGATCTTGTAATGGTGTAAGTACACTGTATCAGGAGAACCTATCCCATCTATTCCCACTGGGAATTTGCTTTCTGTCCATAAGTTAGGATCCTGGGTTCTTAGATCTGCTTGGCAAGACATTCACATCCAGCATTTATTTATTCTCTTCAGCTGGGGTCAAGGAGAAACTGTCAAGTTATGTTTTAGTACCCTGCTCTGTCTTACAGATGCTGAGTTGAGCTTACAGGGGAAGTTTCAGCTGATGTGGTGCTGTGTGGAAGCACAATTCAGTTTCACGGGCATCTCTGCTTTAAGCTGTTCTGGGAGCAGTTGCATTATGTTACCACTATGTTGAAAAGTCTGCTAAGAAAACAAGTGCACGCTCCACAAACTGGGTGTAAGGCAGACAGCCTAGAACTGGTTTTGCCAGTAAGACAACATATGTATGGTGTAAATGCGTTTGCCTAATGCTCCCTCTGGAGCAAATCTTGGGATATGCTCTATCAGGTACCTTAAGGCCATAAAGAAGAGTAATGACAGGGTTAGAGAAGCTTTTGCTGTGGGAGAATCTTAGCACTAACTAGTCTAAGGGTTTTTTTTTATTTATTCAGAAATGCTGTTTATTCACCACTTTAACAATACTATGAAAGTACATTACAGGGTAAAACAGATAGTGGGGGCTGTAGTCCCCTTGACTTGTATGGTGCTGTTTGTTATGAATCTGAGATGAAATTTCCTTTTGAAGTATCCCTGAGGAATGAAGCATAACTACTAACTCTTTCCTCAGATTGTATTAGTTGGTAATGTTAGTAAGAATTATAAAATAAGATCTTAAAAAAAATAAATTAATTCAGCTACAGCCTTTTTCCCCCCTAATGTTTCATTTTGAAATCTGCCTCAAGAATAGTACAAGGGAGACTTTAAATTTAACAGAATGATATATGGGGGTGAGCAAGGCAAGAACTGCATTAACCTGTTTGCATGAGATAATGCAACAGTGCTCAGTACCTGAGTTAATAGTCCTTTAATCTCAAATTATGGGCTTCTATAGTACTTTTTGCACTAGTATCCCAATCTTATATAGGATATCTAAGTGTGGGGATGGGATTAGCAGAATACACAGTATTATTTTTTTCCTAACTTCAAAATAGCCTATATTATCCAGTATCTGAAGCAGACCTACAAGGATGCCGGAGAGGGACTCTTCATCAGGGACTGTAGTGACAGGACAAGGGGTAATGGGTTCAAACTTAAACGGGAAGTTTAGATGATTGGATACAAGGAGGAAGTTCTTTACTGCGAGGTGGTGAAGCACTGGCATAGATTGCCCAAAGAAATGACAAATGCTCCATCCCTGACAGTGTTCAAGACCAGGCTTGATGAAGCCTTGGGTGACATGGTCTAGTGCGAGGCGTGCTTGCCCACGGCAGAGGTTTGGAAGTAGATGATCTTAAGGTCCTTTCCAACTCTAATAATTCTGTGATTCTTAGACCTTATCTCTTTCTACCCTGCATGAGATCTCCAGGCCATAGCAGTCTAAATTTCTTGCAAACTGTATCCAAACAGATGGGAGATTTTCAGGGATGACCCCATACATAAAGAACAGAGCTTTCACCCACATGCAGAACTGGATAAGTAGTTTTGTACTACCAGGACAGCTCCAAATACCTTAAGACATGGGAAGGCTATGTATATTTCCAGGGTGATGTCACTGGTGTAAAGGTTTGCTTGTTTTAAGGAACGACTCTGAACAGTGACTCAGCACAGGCCAGGGTGAGGCTCACCTTGTTTATTATGCATTGGCCTTAATAACTTATACTGGCTCAGCCTCTGTATTCTCATCTGTACATATTCTGCCCAATGTACATCCATCTTTGCAGATGCTGGCAAACAGATTTCATTTTTTTCTTTGTACTGCTGTTCAAATAGGAATTTTTATTTCCTTCCTTGAGAAAAAAAAAAAGACTCATTTCTAGATGGTTGATCAAGTATTTTAAAGCTAGCTAGATGTGGAACTGCATCTGCATACAGACTGACACATTAATCAGCCTGTACGATTGGCTGAGGTACTTCAGCTCTAAGAACAGAATTGTGTGCAATTTCAGTGTTTCCCAACTGGGAAACTGGTCCCTTTGGACCAAGAGCAGAGAGAGGGCCTCTACTGAATTATAACTATCTTCCATGGCCTAGTCAATCCCATGAGAATTCATCTCCCCTTACAAGCTATAAAGAAAAATTCCCATTGATCTGTCTCTGTGTTGTACAGCAAGGAAGTGATGGTTCAAATTGCAGCCCCTTAGTTTCCTCTTAGCCGTAATCTCTTCCTCATACATGCAAAGGTCGACAGAGATAGTATGTCTGCACCTAAAGTTATCATTCTGCTGAGCGTGGTCATGAAGTGAAAGCAATTCATGAAAGATAGATTGAAAGCAATGTCTGTCTGTCCTCTCCTGGAATCACCAGTTGATAAGGGCTGATGGCAGTAAGTTTACTTAAGGGTGTCATCCCCATCAGGACACAACCTGTCAATAGTGCCCTTGACCTGTCCATTAAGACCAATTGAAATAGCCACCTTTTGAAATGTGAATTAAAAACATGGAATCAGGAGCAAAAAGCATTTATTGAACCAGTTTCCATCTCTGTACCTTCTAGGTTTACAGAGGAGGCTAAGAAGGAACGTCATCCCTTTGCATACCTACCCTTTGGAGGAGGACCCCGTGGCTGCATTGGCATGAAAATGGGATTGCTGGAGACAAAAATCACTCTGCTGAGGATTTTGCAGAAGTTTCAATTTAAGACCTGCCCAGAGACTGAGGTTTGTACAAGCAGACACTTAAAGGCCACACTTGTCAACTTCAGGGAGTTGACAGTGTTTCCTAGAAAGGATGTCTGACTTGCCTTTGTGACTTCCTCGTAGTTTGAGAAAACTGGTAGAGCCACATCCATAATGAGGAGGGACAAGAGGCCTGGACTGCTAGTTTTAATCAAAGCTTTATTTAACCTTTACAATTTTTCCAACAAAATAAACAGTTACACAGCCCTGCCTTAATGGAGAGCAGTGTAGCAACACTACAGTCAAAACCCCTTGATTTACACAGGCTGAGAATGGGCATACATCTGTCACGGGATCTTAGCACTTCAGGTTATTCTTATTGCTATATACATTGCACCTGGCACTTACTCAGCAGCAGTAGAGTTTATAGAGTTAATTTCTTTCTGTTCAGATCTGCAGTGTACCTGGGCAACTACTGTCTCAGCCTCCGGGTGTAAATTCTATTTAATATTACACTACCACAGCTCACTATAGAACAAGTACTTTACAGCTTCCACAGTAATCCTGGTATGAATTGGTCCCCCAGCAAAAATGTCTGTCTGTATATGGGGGTGTTGTACACACATAAACAAATACGTACACCTGTACATAAGATGATCTTTTTTTCTTTCAGATTCCTTTGCAGCTGAAATCAAAAGCTACACTTGGACCGAAAAATGGAGTCTACATCATGTTAGAATCTCGCTAAGAGAAAATGTATATCCCGAAGCCTTCTGGGATGGAACTCCTTGTTCAGTGATTCTCTGGGTATAATTATTTCTCTAAACCCCAAAGACAGGTAGGAGCCTAAGTCCCACTGATGGTCAGTAAAGTGGGGCCTCACTGCAGTCCTGTGGGAGAGCCACCCAATCCTTTTTTAGGTGAGACAAGGGCTCCACAGTCTTTCTGGTGGTTTTCAAGTCACTGTGAATAGTACCTGTAAAGAAGCATCCCACTTTCAATTGCTTTTCTACATCACACTTCCTTTTACTCATTTGTAAGAATGCTTTCTTCATGCTCAACTTCAATAAATGGAGCAGGTATCAAATGTATGCACAATTTACAATAGATTTTTTATTACAATTGATTATTTCATATATCCTTCCATACACTTACAAGTCCCTACTCTAAAAAAAGAGGCACCACAGTTCAGTTGTAGCAGAAGACCTGGGAGCCAGTGCATTGGACTTTATCATGAACTCTGCTAAAAATCAAAGCTGAGTCTCCTGCACAATGCTTAATCTCTCCCTGTGTCTGTAAAGTGGAAGGACTTACACCTTTTTCAGGCTTCTGAAGTAATTTGAAATAAATTTAGATTAAAAATTTGCACTCGGTTCATTGCATCAACATGACTGAAGAGAAATGAAGTGTTCCCCTGCTTACCAGTTAAGTTCTAGTAGCTAAACCCAAAGACATGAGGTGACAGCCATTCTGCTGGCTACTGAACTGTTGGATAGGTGGAAAAGAGAGATGTATTTAAAGAAAGCAGGATGTCTGGAGGAAATTTAAGGATAATTTGAAGAAGTTGGTACAACATCTGCTTCATGTTGAGGCCTTTCCTTTTCAAGCGTTGCAGTTGGCACTATCCTTTTCTAGCTCATTGTCTCAAGGAAATTAAGACCGCTGCATGCATTAGAGCCAATGGCAAGAGAATCGGACCCAGGACCATCAGTGCCAGCGGCTCACTTGATTCCTTATGTGACCCTGGAGCAGGTCATGTCCCAAGTGCCTCACTCCACTCAGGAAGGAACTTGTCTGATTGCCAGCTACAACAGTGCCATAGATCCATTCAAGCTGTATGGCTGCACACATGCATCTTCACAGCCAAAGCAGCAGTATGATTTTGTTACCATAAAAATCGGTTGGAGAAACTCTCTAAGACTCAATTTGGAGTTTTAGAAAGCAGGCATTCTTTATTGCAGAGCTGGGCACACATGCGAATCATTTCGCAAAGGTGACCGCATCCATTGCTTGCCGGCAGCAGCTGTATATTCAGCACACTCATGCGTATTCACAGTGTTTCCAGGAAATGATTTACATATTAATGAGATTTCTGGGAACTAATTATAATAATTGTAATTACTCATGCACTTTCTTGCTGCATGGGGGTCTCTGCTGGTCGCCGATAATCTTCCTTACTGCATTTACTGAATGACGACAGAGCCTGTGCACGTTCACAAGGTCCTAGTGCCAAGTTAGCAGTTGGTATGTCTTTGCTTCTGTTCTGTTCCAGTCTTGCTCCACAATGGGCACCACTCTGCTATCTTGAAGGCTAGCACCCTGGTCTTATTTACTGTCTCCTTAGTTGTTATCAGTTCTGTGATGTTCCTTCCCCCGTCAGCCGAACATTCCTTTCTCTCTATGTGTTAGCAAGTTAGAACAGTTTGGTCTATTCTACTGTTAGTTTAAAGACACACACACTATTGTTAGTTTAAACCTACACTTTAAGCCTACAGTTTCACTCTTCGCATTCTCCCCCCGCTCCTTCCTACTCCTCTACAAAGCCCTTCAATCACCATACAGCTAGTGAAGCATCACACAGCAGTGAGCAATTGACCAGGAAAAAAAGAAACATTTCCTACAGTGTACACCACAAACTAGCTGGCTGTACAACTGTGCTGCTTTTGGCCAGGATAGAGTTAATTTTATTCATAGTAGCTAGTATAGGGCTATGTTTTAGATTTATGTTTTGTTACTGCTGGGCAGTGCTTACACAGAGTCAGTACTTTTTCCGTTCCTCACATCTCCCCACCAGTGAACAGGTTTGGGGTGCACAAGGAGTTCGGAGTGGACACAACAGGGACAGCTGACCCCAACTGACCACAGGGATATTCCATGCCATATGACAGTGTTTGACATATAAAGGTGAGGGAAGAAGGAGGAAAGGGAGGATGTTCAGAGTGACAAGTGGCATTTGTCTTTCCATGTCAGTTACTCATGATGTAGCCCTGCTTTCCTGGGGATGGCTGAACACCTGCCTACCCATGGGAGGTGGTGAATGAATTCCTTGGTTTTGCTTTACTTGTGTGCATGGCTTTTGCTTTACCTGTTAAACTGTCTCTACCTCAACCCACAAGTTTTCTCACTGTTATTCTTCCGATTCTCTCCTCCGTCCTGTTGGGAGGAGTGAGCGAGTGGCTGCATGGGGCTTAGCTGCTGGCTGGGGTTAAACCACAACAACAAAACTATGAGAGAAGATGGTCTCAGTCCCTGGGTCCTTTTTAAAATTTATGTATTTTTTCTTCTTTTTTTTTTTTGACAGTTTTTATAATAGCAAGAAATTCTTATGGCCATAAAAATGAGGAAGCACCTGGTTCTTTGCGAGTGCTCACCTTCTCCCTGCTGACATACTCTGCTCGAGGTTTCCTTAGGTACAGCATCCCTCTTGATGGCATGCACAGAGAAGTGTGGCAGCAGGAGGAAGAGGCTGACTGCTCAGCTTTACTGCAAGGATTGCTGGAAGGAGCCATCTGCTCACTGAGCCCTAGCTAGTTCCCAAGTTTCTCTCCAGCAACCACCTTTTGCTGCCTTCTTCCCACATGCTGCCTTAACACTGATCAAATTACTGTATCTGGCTCCTGGAAGATTTTGTCTTTCATGGGGTTTATTTGTTTTTAAACAGAGCTCTACAGGTAGTAGGGGTGAAGTACTGACCTGGGAATCTTGGAATTGTTCCTATTTCCATGGAGCATCAATGGCATGCTAAAACAGAAGTGCCTGGTTACAGATGTACTGATTATATGACTTACTGATGGAGTGAATGTCCTTTATTTGAAAAGAAACACACCTTATATACTTTAATTTTTACACATTATCCATCATTTTTCCCTCTTGAAAATGTGCTGGCAGCTGATTTACTGTACAGCTTACACATACAACTGGCAAAAATTTGGATGGGCTTTGCTTAAAAGCTTCTCACCTACATGAATAAGCAGGACACTCATTCCAGTCTCAAGACAGCTATGAAAGGCATGTTTGTCCCATCAGATTATTTTTTTCCTCTTTTTCTTCCTTATGTGACTTATCAGGTCATTGTGCATGCAGTATTTTACCAAATACTCCAAGCCTAAATCAAGCTTGTACCTTTCTTCCATATGTTCATGTAAGGGCTGTTGTACATCTTGTCTCAATGCTGTTTATATCATCAATAGTTACCCAAGAAGGTGTCACTAATGTGTAGAGTAGTTGAACTCATATTTCTGGGACTGAACAGAAGCATTATCATAATCATAGAATCAGAGAATGGTTTGGGTTGGAAGGGACCTTAAAGCTCACCCAGTTCCAACCCCCTGCCATAGGCAGGGACACCTTCCACTAGACCAGGTTGCTCAAAGCCCCATCCATCCTGGCCTTGAACACTGCCAGGGATGGGGCAGCCACAGCTTCTCTGGGCAACCTGTGCCAGGGCCTCAGCACCCTCATAGTGATACAGTTACCAGACACCACACAGACATTTTACCAGGACACTTAATGATGCTGGCCCTCATCCTAGCTGTGTGGGCTCAGAAACATACCTAAAAACCAAGCCATGTTGAGGGACCAGAACTGCTCTAGCCCCCTGAAAGCATATATTTGAAAAAATCCAAACATGACTGACAGCAGCTCTCCAGAACAGAAACTGGTAATAGCATGTTAATCACAGTGCATTTGTGCAACCCTGTAACATGAGCCCAAACTGATCATAAGCAGAGTTGTCTGCTTCATAAGAACCCCTCCAATAAATAAATAAATAAATAAGCTGTATGCTTATAGTTGCAACGTCAATGCATAACTGTATATCCCAAAGTTATAGCAACTACTAGCCTTTCTGTTTGTCATGGCTTAAGCCCAGAAAGTAACTCAGTATAATGCAGCTGCTTGCTCACACGCCACCCCTGCTTCCTCACCCCCTGGGCTGGATGCAGAGGAGAATCAGAAGAATGTAAAATGCATGGGTTAAGAACAGATTAATAACTAAAATAAAGTACAATACAATACTACTAATAATAGTAAAAAAAAAGGGAAATAACAAGGAAAGTGATATAAAACTAAAAAAGGAAAAAACAAAAACCAAACAAACACGATGCACAGTACAATTGCTCACCACCCACTGATCAGTGTCCAGCCCACCCCCAAGCAGCAAGCTCCCCCCAAGCCAACTCCCATCAGTTTACATCCTGGGGATGATGCGCTGTGGTATGGTATACCCCTTTGGCTAGTTTGGGTCAGGTGCCCTGTCTCTGCTTCCTCCCAGCTTCCCCTCCTCCCAGAGCATGAGGCTCAGAAACTTCCTGGTCAGACTAAACGTTACTGAGCAACAACTTAAAAACATTGGTGTTATCAGCATTGTTCCCAGGCTGAAAGTCAAAACCACAGCACTGCACCAGCTACAAGGAAGAAAACTAACTCTATCGCAGCCAAAACCCAGACACTGGTACAGCAGTTGAGTCTAGGGAGAAACAAGGAAGCAGATTTAAAATAATTTCTCTCCTCAGAAAGTGTGTTGTCTTGCATTGCTGAGCTGTGGGTTTGTTTAAAATTGGGCATGTCTGTCTGTTCTACAAAAGGGTCTCAGTCATTCTCTGACAGCCAATACAAAGCAAAAGCTGTTTAGGAAAGGAAAGCTTCTATTAAAACCATCTTCTGGATTTTGCAATGATTACAGAAAGGTGTCAGTATAAAATGGTATTTTTAATGAGACGGCTGATACAGAAAACCTTTAAAGCTTTGTACTTTATAAATAGTATTCCTAGAAAAACAAAGCTGGATGTTACAAGTTATCATGAGTCACTGCTTGCAAATTTGAACTGTTTATTCTTACCTGGCATTAAACTGCAGAATTTCCTCTCTGCATGTGATCATTCTGCAGTGGCCACCCTCTCATTTCCCTTTGTTAAGCCATGTTCCAATCTTGGACACAGCTTCACCTAATATTCTTTTTCTGTGCATTTCCAGTAGTAAATATGCTAGAACAATTTAAAGCCGACTTGCAAACTGTTTATTTCAGTGCTAAGTCTGCACTGGCCCTGCTTTCTTTCTTCTAACTGTGATAAGTCTGATCAGTCTCCAAGATGTTTGCTCCCTGCACTGCTGGGTGCTATGGCTGCTTAAGATGAGGGAGCTGGATTACCTATCCCCTGGTAAAACAGGTAAAAGCACCAGTAACACTGGCCATGTAATAGCTGTCTCTCCTGATGTTGTGCTGGAAGTACTGCAAAGTCGAACAGCATTTCTACAACTCCCACATGCCCTTTGGCTCAAAGGCAATGCTGTACAGCAGTTTCTTAGAAGCAAAATGCAAGTCTTCTCCAGCACTGAGCACACTACCGTAACTGGCATGTGCCATACACCTAAGTTACTCTTACCCACCACCCCAACTTCTCCAGGCTGCAGGTATCCAACCAGAGTAGTGTACTGCCAGTCCTTTGCTGCTGCCAACACCGACATCTCATAAAATCCAGCCAGAATACCATGACAGACCTGATTACAGATGAAACCCATTAAATGGTGTGGTGGGTTAACCATGGCTGGCTGCCAGGCCCTGACCCAGCCCAGTGGGTTAGGAGCCAGGGGTTCATAAATGACTCTGCTCCATACTGCACTACTGGCACAGCAAAGTTATTTGCTTCTGCTAGTGTGCCATCTGTCTTCATAGAATGGTTTGGGTTGCAAAGGACCTTAAAGTTCATACAGTTTCAACTCCCTGCCATGGGCAGGGGCACCTTCCACTAGACCAGGCTGCTCAAACCCCCATCCAACCTGGACTTGAACAATGCCACAGCTTCCCTGGGCACCGTGTGCCAGGGCCTCACCACCCTCATAGTAAAGAGCTTGCGAGGATGGACCCGTTATAAAAAAAGGGAACAATCTTCACAGATTCTCCTCACATGATGTAAGACTGAGTAAGAGATTATTACACTGTTGCTGCTCAGTTTTTTCTTAAGTAGCCAAGAAATGTCCTCACTCAGAAAAGAGGTTCAATATAAATTTTTGTTGAAAGTTTAGATTTAATGCAAATGACTTTTTAATCTGTTCATTTTCAAATGCAATCCAATCAGCTGTACAGGGACTCCATTATCTAGGAGCAGCATCTTTAATAAAGTTTCCAAGAACTCAGAGATGTAGCAAAACATGGTGCTTTCAGTAGTGAGAATGAAAACCAGGACAAGGAATCTAGTGGTCTGAATGCCTGTTTATTTACTACACACAAGAAAGTTATCACTGCAGTTTCAGAAGTGGAAAACATGGTAACTTTTACTTTTTGTGTGTTAATGGAGAGATAGCAGATGACAAAGTAACACAACCAGCCATATTTTCCATACACACACACACACACGCACATACATATCCTCTCCAAGAATAAAGTCTTTAAAAATACTACTAGCCATAAAAAAGTTACTAAAAAAATCTTTCTTTTTGGTAGGAAAAAGATGTTTGTTTCAATTTTCTAGCAAAAGATTAACATGACTTTTGCTATTTCAGTTCTTAGCTGAAATGAGGAAGAAAAGCATAGCAGTATTCTCATTTGCCATGAATGTGTAGATGAACATGATTTTGTTTTGGCAGAAAAATCTCATTCTGCACAGGTATGAAAGCTTTCATACATAACATTATCCTCCCTCAATGCTGACAAAACTTCTGTCAGCAAATGAGCTTGTCACATATGCTCTATTATAAATCTTTCCAAAGAAAGAATACAGTCAACTTGCTTTTCCAACATCCTGTGTTTTAGTGGGTTAAATACAAATGGGAGTACTTTCCTTTAAATATCATGCTGCTAGTTTCACATTTCATATAAAAAGGAGTTCTGCACAGCCTTACACCAGCTAATCATGGCTAAGCTCCTGGTTCACAGTGCTGAAGTAATAAGGAGTTACCCAGTGTACACTTGTCAGTCATCATCCAGATGAATTAAAAAGGAAGTGCTTCTAGAATACAGATTGAGATTTTTTAGAGCCTATACAAAACGTATCTTAAGGCTTTGTCAGCACACTATAGTTACCAAGCACTCATTTAGGAACATTAAAGCTGCGATAAACTGTCTGTCTATGCATCAGCAACTTTAATCTTAAGAAATACTTGACAGGTCAAGTTTTACTATCTGCATATATGTATGTTAACTGCTCAATGCTAGTAACGTCCTTCTCTGGGAACAATTAAATATTCAATGTAATCTTCAGAGTTTTAAGCATTTCAGCTCTGTGGCTGAAAACCAGTCCCTAGGTAAGCACATTTTTCCTGCAACAAAATTTTAAGACCACACCATTACACTTCTAACCAATGTATCATCACCTGCAACTAGAGGGCTGTACTCCTCACGAGAGACAGTCACCCACTGTCAAGCCTAACAACTGTAAGAAAACCATGAAGTTGCTCCACAGGATCAGGGTGCTGCTAATCAAGCAGTGCATTTCACTCCTAAGTATGATATTCTTAAATGACCTGCGAGTTGCCTTCCTCTTCTTCCTCCCACACCAGCACACTCTCAAACAAAGGTACAAAGTCATGAAAAAGTTGTGTTCTCACACACCTAAAATACATCATTTATTTGATGGAGTAGGTCAGCTGAGTAGTACAGCACCAAGCAACCCTTGTTGTGCTTCATGTCTTTGGTACATGTTTTAAATGAGAAAATTAACAAGTTAAAATAACTCTGTTCATTCTCAACAAGCCAGTTTTAACTTTTGAGGCTTTTTTAGTGAAGATTAAGTAGGGACAAAACCCAGTGCTGCTAAGAATTTATGCAATGAGTTGATCACAGAGATTGTACAGTCTTATTTGCAAACACTTGAATGTCTACTGTTGCAGGTGACGGATTACTAAAAAAGAAGGTTTTATCAAATTTTGAGTTAAAATATAAACAGGTAGAAAAGAGTCTCTGACCAATGAGCACATATAAAGATCCTGAAATAAAGATAACTAAATATTGTTTAAACTTGGCAGTCATTGCTAATCATCATGTTACAATCATCAGTGAATTAATCTAATATATTAATAAGTCTCTAGTAATGCATGGAAATATGATAACCTGCTAAAGAATAAGAGACAGGAAAGGATTTTAAGAATTCTAAGGCATCCTTTCTGTCTTCTCATTTTCTACTGCACAGAAAGGACAGAGAATAAATGTTTCTGAACACTCACCTATCCAATTATGTAACTTCTAAAAATCACTTTTTCTCTCTTAAGCCAGTGCTAAAAAAAAGTTTATACCAGTTAAACATAATGATGACAGGTTTTGGTGCTACAGCATTTTAGCGTATGCCTGGTCAATGTATTCTATGAGATACTCTGGATAAATCTGCTGCTTCTCAAAGATGACAAAGATAGAAGGGTTTGAAAAGCTATTCACACAACTGTCATAGAAGCTGTATCTGTCCTTCATGGGAGGCCGAACATAGGAAGAATCACCAACAGTGAACTCCCCCACCAGCACCCGGGCCAGAAACATGATCTTGGTGCGCGAGCCTTCCCTGCAGTAGCTGTCAGAATAAGATGCATCCCTTGCAAAATAGCTTCCTGCAGAAGAGACACCACAACAGAGTTGATAAGACACCAAATTGTAGAAAAGGAAATGATACAATGTGAAAGCAAATTCATAAGCAAATCCATTAAGCAGTTCATGAACGGCCTTCCCAAAGCCTTCATATGTCCTGTATGTCCTTCTCAGTGAAAATGACCTACACGCTTGTTTTTCACAGCACACATACTAAAAAAGCCACACAAAAGTGATGTTTTAAATGTCATATTCCTCAAGATTTCCTCTTGACCCTAGGTGTCCACCTTTCCCAATCTCATCCAACTTCCTCTCCTGACAGAGGCTACTATTACTGATTAGCACATTTCTGAGAGTTAGAAGGTATTTGATTGGACAGGTGGGTAGTCAGTCAGTCAGCTTGTCTATTCCCTTTGGTTTGTTGATCCTTTCCTGTACACAGGACAATGCAAAGGAATGTAATTTGCTATATATCCTACAACCAGGATGGCATTTGCTTACCTGGAAAAAAAAAACAAACCCCCAAAAAACAAATAACGGCATGTTGCCTTCCTGTATGAGCTTGAAGAAATTAGAACACAAGTAGGCCTGGACTGTAGCAAAATCATCCCTACAGCTGGCCCCTCCTATGCTTGTCTTCTTGCAAGGCCCTTCAGTATACCTTATCTCCAAATGATCATATTGCCAAACTCAGCTGTGTGCTATGTTGTCCACATCATCACAGAGATAAGCCCTAATGCTGCACAGTGTCCCAACTTTACAGCTCTGCAGTAACTACTGAGAATATTTCAGCAAGTCTAAGGTTAGTGATGGAGCTGAAAAACAACCTTTGCCATAGACTGTCCCATGGAGGCCACAGATCCTCCAGTCAAAGTTTTGCTGACAGATGGCATCAATGTATTTTCTACTGGTCCCATGAAATAAAGATCGCTCATCCACAGCATTTCCACCATTGCTTTTCTGCATTTGTTCCTTCTGCCTGCAATAAGAAACAGTATATTTGCAGTTCCTTTGTGACTGAAGCCAGACAGGTTCTAGCCATACCAGCACTCAGAGACAATTTTAGACAAAGAGTATATTCTGACAATCCTTACGTTAAGGCCTAAACTTTGGGCATACAGAGTACCTAGCTGTCTAGTTGCATACAAACATGCTTTCATTACACACAAATGCCTCCAGATATTTAATAATAAAAATGTTTTGTTTCGTTCACTGCCTATTGGGAGACAGGGAGGAACCCTGGCGTTATTTTTTTCTAAACAAAGGAGTTCACGTTAAAGCTTTCCCTCAGTGGGTTTTCAATTTAGTTTTGAAGGCTGCTTCAGTTTTGACCAGCTACAAACCAGTGTTTGTGCCAGATGCAAGCGATTAGCAGCTTCAAGGCTTCAGTGGAAGGCAGCTGTCCTGGACTGAGGCCTGGCAGAAGTCAGAACGATTTACTCAAGTTCAAGAATTCCTCCCACAGAGCTCAGCTGACTATTCAAAACTATGTTTTGACCGAGTTTTCTTTTTTTCAGTACCACTTTACCTACATGTTGATCCTGGCTAGGTATTTGGGGAGTGGAAGCAGATTCTTAAATGCAGCTGCATTTCAGGATTGCATGCATCTATCTTTAGCATACGGCTAACTGCAGAAACAACAAACTTCATGCACACATACCAGAACAGTATTTTACACATACCACTGATACAGCTCCCAGAGAGATGGGTTCTGAACTCTACGAATCCTTTTAATAACTGTTGTGGGCATTGTGCGTTGAAAGCCCACCTTGACTTTTTTATATTCTTCAGAAGAACTGTCAAGCTCAATCAGCTGTAAGGAAAAAGATTACAAAGCTACTCTCATCTTTTACTAAACTGTAACAAAGCCACCCTACCTAGTGCACTACTCAGACCTTTAAAGTCTTTTTTGTGAAGCAGAGGTATGAACAGTGAAAATACTCTTGGAAAGAAGGCAGATTAGAGATGCCCGATCTGTAAGTGAGCTTTTATCTAGGGTACATTAACTCCTGGTGTTTAAGACACACAGGTTACTCTCTCACAGGACTTTAAAGGAGCTGTATGCTTCTGTGCACCCACCCAGCCCCTCTGAATATTAGGCCCAAGATGCATTTGCATGCATATATCAAACAGTACCTAAATACATAGAAGAAATGAGCAGATTAAAAAACCCCACATATACGGAGAATTTATGTTGCAGTAAATCAAAGAATACCTCTACAACAATGCTTTTTAGATCTTTATACTTCCTACAGCCAGTGAACACAAACTGCAATGCCCATTATGTTTTTTAATAAATTGAAAAGGCCAACCACTTGATCAACCATTTTAGGGAAGAGTAGGGACACACTTCCAAAAAAATCAGCTTCTTACATGCCTTGCCCTGAAAGCAAGCAAAATTTTCTAATTGCATATTTTCCTAAGGAAAATCCAGAACATCAATGTTTTTTTAATTGAAACTTTCTTGAGGATTTGCATTTTGCAAGTCAGAAAGTTTCAATCTTCATGTAAGATCTTTTCTGTAGGTATAGTTACTGGAGTTGACAGAGGTGGTGGTGGAGGCAAGCAGGAAGCCAGCGAAGGTAAACCAATGCAGCTATTAACTGGGTGTGTTACAAAGGTAAACAAGTTCACTCCACTGGAGTTATGGTACATTTTAACAAAGATGCCAGCCTGAATACTGCTGATTTCAGCAGTGCTCCATAGATGTGCAACAGTCTACTTACGCACAGCTCAGAGAATGGTTACCCTGAAGTTTAAAAGCTTCAGCACAGGCTGGACTTCAAAGCTATCTATCTTGGGCACCAGTAACAGTCTTGCTAATGCAGCCTAAGCTTCAGCCAAATTTGCCAAGTTACCAGACCCAAATTTATCAACACCTCTACATGTTACATAAGATACGTTCATCTACAAGGGCACAGAAACACTGAAGTTGCGACTGTAACAAACCTGTATGTGACAAAACTGATGGAGAGGAAAAAAAAAAAATAAAAAAAATCTCCAAACCTTGAATCCCACTTCAGGGAGAGCAGATTTGTCCCAGTGAGATGGAATGCCCTTAAATTCTTCTACATATTTAGAGCTCCTGTACATTACGAGACATTACAAACAAGTAATTAAACGAACCATATCCCTACATTTTATGTACATATGATACTAAACATTTTGCCAAATTTAGGGAGAATATAGGCAACTGAACATATTAAGAAATATTTCAAAATTGTCTTTCATTTCAGTGTATGGAAATATTTGTTCCAAATCATCACATCAAGACTTATGGCAGGAATTAAGACGTCAAATGAGATATACAAATAAAAGCTCTGCTACAGTAAGATAGATAAATAAAAATACATGCAGGATCCTATTAGTATGGCAGAAACAGGATAGATACAAACAACCCTCCCCTCTAATTCCACCCCAATTTTAATTAGTGTTTAGCAGCTCTTTTCTGTGGTGTTTAAGAAAAATTTCTCCCCTTAGAGACTGTCATCTTCTGCTCCACCTGTAAGGAATACTATTTTCCTCTTAGCTTGTCTGGTTGTTCATAAAAGAATTGTTTCTGAACTTTACTCAGCTTTGAAAATTACTTATCTCAGAAAAGCATTTTTACAGTATGCATAAACACTATTGCTTCTATCTGTATCAGCTGGCTCTATTAAGAGAGCTCCCTCTAATCAGCAGCTTCCTGCAACACTGATACATGTTGGATTATTTCCTATGCTTCCACACTTACTGTAGCCAAGCCCAAACTTCCTTCAGCCCCAAGGTTCCAGAGTTGCTTGAAAATTGTTGGCCAGGCTGCAGTACTGCCCTGGCTAGACACTGTTGTAGGACAATGTCTACAAGATGTATGTCCCTTCCCCATTCAATTTCTTTCACAATCCACTTAACAGCTACTTCTCCACCTTATTTACACCTTTGGAAGACACTCCATTCACAATGCACTAAATCCATCACCTCAGAATGAGCAGTTGCACTTTACCTGGCTCTTGTTTTTTCTACCTCTTCCGGAGACACAAATACAGGCCTTCTGCAAACCTCTCTCTTTGTTGAGTAGCGAAGGTTTTTCTGAATCATGTCTGGGGAAAAAAACAAAACACCCTGATCAATCAGAGAGATGTCTTAGAAAGCCTTCACACTGCAGCCACCAAGTTATTTTGTCAAAAATGTTGACAAAAAAGGGACCAAGACTTTTTTATAGCATCACAAAGGGAAGTCAAAGCAGGATGTGGAACCCACGGTCTGAGTAAATCAGTTTCAGTTTTAACTTTAAAAGGAATGATAGACACTGGTAGCTATTTTCCCTTCATTGTCCCGTCAGCCAGACTTAATCGAGAATCGCATAGTATCTACTTCTGCTCTGTGGATTGCATCACCTCCATCAATCAAAATCATGATACTGTTTTTCTACATGTAGTTGTAGATTTCAAACAGTATAAATGCAACCTAACAGCTATCACAGGTCATTCATTTTTATTGACCACCAACAGAAAAGCAAGTCACAGCCATCTGAATTTTAGAGGTATTCTTTCTGGATCTTGGAACCTCTAGCTACTGCCACAGTATTGCAACTAAGAGTCAGTAGCAGCCAGGAAAATAGGCCCCATCTTTAGAGAGATACACAGGAAGAAGACAAAACCACTTGCCACAACCAAGCCTAGAAACTGAGTTTTGGAAGACATCTATCTACATGGCGTACATTTGCCTAAGTTACTAAAAAAGCCCAAACCTTAGAAAAGAGATTGATTTAGAATGCAATTTTCTTTTCTAAGCCAGACAAGTTTCCCCATCCTATAAAGATTACAACATAGCTTACAATTAAATCACAAGCAACTTATCACATGCCCTTTCTGCTTTTTTTCCCCTCCCATGAAGAATGAGATACTACTGAAAAGTTGGATCAAAGGCAACTACACCAAAATGACAGTCTAAGCAGGCCTATTCCCACCACCACTGCTCCCCACAGTTTTTGACAAGGATACCTGGAAAGGCAACAGCTCAGAAAGGACAGTGCCATCACAAATGGCTTAAATACCCTAAACTCTTGGGAAACACATCTTCCTACTTTGATATAGTTAAGATATTTCCTCAGCCTTTCCAGACTGGCAGAGCTATGAAGAGAAAATAACTACATAAATCTTGCAATGGTAAAGATTATCTGGACTCTACAACTCGCCAAAGTATTAATTTTTCTGCAAGCCAGAGATTAAAGCAGACCAGAAGCTGGCTTGTCAAGTCTTCCAGAAGTTTCTCACCATTTGTGCTGGCACATCAATGGCAATGTCACACCTGGACTTCCTGGCAGACATTTTGAAACCTAGCACAAGAACCTCTCGAAAAAGGTTTGGAGGAACAGAAATGCCACTTTGCTTCTGTGAACAGCTCTTATCCTGTGAACTTTGACAGAAGTTCTGTCTTTGTAAGCACTGCAGTTCAAAGTCCAAATTTCTTTCTCCTATCTCCTGTAGCAATGTAATTTAAAAACCACAAAAGACCTGGGAGGGAAGGACAAAATAAAAAAAAAACACCCAAAGCAAATGGAACCTACCTGCAAAATTGATTTCATATTCATGTCTTCCAGCTTTGAAGTTCAGTGTTGGAGAACATTTGCTTATATATGCTTTCTCCAAGTCTTCACTGGAGACAGTGGCGGCTACATGGTCAACATCCTGTCAGGCCAAAACCAGAGGGAAAAAAAAATATCTCCTGGTCTCTTAAATAAAAGCGAGTTTAAAAACTAACAACTGTCATATGGTATGGTGGCTGAAATATGTACCAGCTTTTGGGCATGATAGTAGCTATCAGGCAAAAGCCATGTATTAAGCTGTTGAAACATCTCCCAAAACAAACAAGCAGTCTTATGAAGCCTAAGCTTATGCTGTGTATGCTATAAACACTACTACTGAGACCCCACATTCACCAACTAGACCTGAGCAAAGATGCACAGAGTACTACTGGAACCTCAGAAAAAGAAGTTTTAGTGAGCAGCAATGAAAAGAATGTATTAATGAGAGCCTATCTGACATGACTCACTGAAGAATTATCTGTCAATAATATTTGTGGCTCACCAGTGAGCACTCCCCTATCTGAACCAATCAAATTTCCAGAGAAGTCATCCTATTAGGCCTCTTAAGTCCATCTGTACAGTATGAGAGGGAAAGAGGAGGAGGAGGGTGATAAGACAGAGAGGATATAAACAGCTGTGCACTTCTCAGTAGCTCTGCACTTTGAACACAGAGTTGAGAGTCTCCCCATTTCTCCACACTTACTTTTTTCCCATACTCCTGCCACAGGCCATACTCATCTTTCCAGTACCAGATCCATTCTGTTGTAAGAATGAAGTGAGGGGGTTTGGTCACAGAAGAGGCTGTAGAAAGACGTCTAACCTTTTCAAACCCACAAGACATATTCAGAAAAGAGATACGTGGCAAGACACTGCCAGTTTCAGCAACAACGTTTCCAATTCTATAAAGGATGAAAAAAAAAAAAAGACAGTTTGTGAAGCTTTACAGGTAGGTTCAGAAGCCCACCATAAATTTGCAAATTGGGTCATCATCACTCTAAAGCAGAACAGAAGCCTGCAGCTTCCATAACAATCCCAACTCTGGTTTGTGTTTGCACATTTTTTGTATTACAGTATTGCATCTCACAGTGGTTCCATGGGCGGTAACCATTATCAACTCATAAATTAGTGAGTTACGCAAGTTGAACAGAAACAATGGAAAACATACACTGCCTTCCTCTTGCTAAACAACTATATTATAAAAAGAACAGTGTTGTAATTTAAGGATGGCTTCAAATAACCTTTAAAGTAACATAAGAGGGCTAGGTAAATTCTCCAGCACGAGACACAGCATGCTGGTATGAGCCTCTTTCAATTCCCTCTTTGTGCTACGTAACAATTTCCAAACCATTAATGGCATTTCCATATTCTTAATGTTCTTTGCACCCCAGAGTATCTCTCACCTCAGGCACACAAGGTATTCTACCAGTTCCACAATATGAACTTGGGAAAAGGGAGCAGAAGGGGCAAATCCTTTCCAAACTTTTCCATACTTCTCTTTCACCTTTGGAGCTGGAGGTTATTTCTAATCATGGGGTCAAGCTGTGTATTGACAAGCTTAACCAAAGAGATTCCCACAAGTGATAAAAATCACCATTCTCTGCAGTTTTCCAGCCATTCTTAGTGAGCATTAGCAATAGTAGGAAGTATTTATACTTTTACAATCACATAACTGTTATGGATTGACCCTGGCCAGCAACCAAGTATCTACACAGCTACTTGTTCACTCCTCCTCCCTTCCCAGGCACAACAGAGGGTAGAAAATAGGAAGGGCAAAAGCAAGAAAAGTTGTGGGTCAATATAAAGGTAGTTCAATAAGTTAAGAAGGGGGTACACATGAATAAACAAATAAAGCAAATTGCTCACACCTCCCAAGGCAGTGTAATGCCTAGCCAGCCTCCAAACAGCAGCTACCTTGGTTAAAAAAAAACAACAAAACACCTCTCTTCCTCTGCCTCAGGTTTTACTGCTGAGGCAGTAAACATGACGTTGCAGGGTATGGAGATCACTTTGGTCAGTTCAAGTTAGCTGTCCTGGCTGATCTTCTCCCAAGCTCTTGCCTGCCTCCAGCCTACCCACTGCAAAGGAGCAGGTCAGAGCAAGAAAAAGAGAAAGCCTTGACTCTGGGCAAGTACTGCTCAGCAATCCCTAAACCACCAGTGCACCATCAGCACTGTTTTATTCACAAACCCAGAACACGGCACTTCAGGGGCTGAAAGATAACTCCATCCCAGCCAAACTCAGTATGGTAACTAGAGTGTTCTATACGGACTCCAGGCCTAAGTCACAACGGATCTCCCAACAACAGTAGATAAGGAAAGTGAGATCAGCAGAATACCAAATCAAGATACTTATGCAATAGTATGCAATAGAGTCATAGCAATTTATAGCCACTAAGGGCCTGCTCCAATATAGCAAACTCCAAATATTATTAAATTTTATGAGTTGATACCCAGTGTAAGCAGGCTCACAGTATGCTTCTTCTATATCTTCCATATTCTTCAAGTCTTTCCAGATCTTACCATCAGAGACCTGCCATCTATATGGCAAGTGAAAATGGGTTCTGATACACTTGTCTACAAAAAAAAAAAAAAAAGTAAGAGATGCATTAGTTTTACAGGTTATGAGAAAAACGCCAACATTTCAGGGATGTACATACAGCTGGTGAGAGTATCAAATGCATGACTATGGAAAGTGTTCACCTATGGAATCTTTACAAGCAACAGTTCAGTATTTTTCAACATGAACACTCAAAACTTAATTTTTGATCTTAGACACAAGTTTATTCTCTATACGTTCCAGATTCTTTTTGTGCAACAAAATTGCTAGCAGGAGCTAAGTGATGAAGGACTACCCTGTGTCCTCTGTTTCAGAGATAAAAATTTACAATGAGTTGAGATCACAAGCTTATATGAGACTACTATTTCATATACAGATTAACAGTGTAGACGCAAACATCTGTGCTTAACCACTTAATCCTGAAGTGGTACTACTGAGATAAAAAGAAGTAAAAACACAAACAGTGCTTAGTTTAAGGATAGAAGGAGAAGGACTGACATGGTTTAACCCCAGCTAGCAACTAAGTACCACAAAGCTGCTCAGTCACCTCTGGTTCCCCCAGTGGGATGGGGAAGAGGAACTGGAAAAAGATAAAACCTGTGGGTTGAGATCAGAACAGTTTAATAATTGAAATTAAGAAAATAAAAATAATGAAACGGAGGATAACAAAAAGAGAGAAAGGAATAAACCCCAAGACACACAAGTGATGCGCAACACAATTGCTCACCACTCACTGACCAGTGCCCAGACCATCCCCAGGCAGCGATCAGCCCCTCCCAGCCAGCTCCCCCCATTCATATACTGAGCATGAAGCTGTATGGTATGGCACACTCCTCTGGACAGGTTGGGTCAGGTGTCCTGTCTCTGCTCCCACCTGGCTTTTTGTGAACTAGCAGAAACTAGAAACTGACAAGTCCTTGAATCAGGATAAGCACTGCTTAGCAACAACTAAAACTGCTGTGGATTTTCAGCATTGTTCTCAAACTAAAGACAAAACACAGCATTGTACCAGCTACTAGGAAGGAAATTAACTCTATCCCAGCTGAAATCAGGGCAGTATCCACCCCATATTGTACATCATTTACGGCATGCCCAGTCTCACACTTTCCAATACATCCCAGTTAGCCACCATCTACTTTTCTGTCTTTGGACATATATATGCATACACATATGTATCATTCCCTTAGTTTAAAGTCCTTTACCCTTCAAGAAGGCTCTAAGGGTCCAGGTCTCAACAGGAACAAGAGCAGTGGTAGTAGTGACCAAGGTATCACAAGTATTACTCAGAAATCTTTAAAAGAGTCAGGGTGCCATCACTTCTCAGTAAGAGTGAAGATCACACCACCAGTACACATATGCATAAACTTAAGAGTGGCTTTCATGGTAGAACAGACAACTTAATTGGGAAAGTCAAGGAGACTGCACCACACAGTTCATATGAGAAGGTGTGTGGTACATCAGGGAGCTACTACAGGTCAAGACCATCAAGAAGGAAAAGGATGACAAAAGGACAAGAAAGTTGGCACAGCAACCTTTTTCCTAGGTAAGTGGGAACATTTTGAAAGGGAGATAGCTCAAACAAATAGAACAGAGAGAGAAGAAACAAGGATAAATGTAGAATTCAGACTATCTTTTGTAGCTGTTCAGAGATAGGACTCCTATCATTCAGCAATCCCTTAGGTGAACACAGGTGGATATTACAAATTTCAGGGTAGAACAAAATAGCTCCTTTGTTTGGCAGAGCAAGCAGGTCAAGCACTTTCCTATTAGCATTCAAGATTTTGCTAAGATTTAACTAAAAATAAACATAAGCTCTGAAGTTTACCTTTTCTGTGAAAGATGTCTATCACTTCCTCTTAAGAGAAAAGGAAAATAGACTGGACTTGCTACAATCACAACCTACCTTTAAAGCCACAACCTCTGTACAGATGATATAAACAAATCTGTTCCAATTCATCATCATTTGTAGTTGAAGACTCTCGGCTAGAGCTGTGTTTTCTCTCTAGAGGGGGAAATTATAAACCTTATTAATACACTGTTTCAACAAGCCCTCTTTAAAGTGCACCTATGGGTAGGGAAAATAACTAAAACCAGTGTTTATAACTACATATCTGCATTCAGCTCCAGAAAGACACTGAAGTCTTTGATAACTTTGTATACTCAAAAGTCCTATCCCTTTATCCATCCTTTCTGACCTTGACTTTTCTGTAACTGCTACATTTCTCACAGTTTTTAGCTTTCACCACAAAATAAAAATAGAATCCAATGCTTTTACACTTCTAGATATACTTGAGTTAAACATGCATTCCACATCCCTGTTCACACTGGCGGCTATAAAATCTAAAGTCTCAAAATGTGGTATTTCCATAAATTAAAAACACGCCTAAGGCAACCAAGAAGCGAGGAAGCAACTGTAGGAGAACAGCAGAGATGAACACACACACACACTTGGATTTTTCATTCTGTTATCTTTCTGTTTCTTGCTAAATTATACTTAACTTGCAATCCTAAATAACTTCAAAAGAAAAGAACAAAATATTACATCTCTGAGAAGTAGCTGGGATAGTGCTGTCTGTGAATTCTTGTGCTAAGCAATCATGACATTAAAGAAAAAAAATAATAAAATAGTTTAGAATCACACATGTAAATGCCACTCCTATTCTTTAACAGTTCTCTACCTTTATTTTTTTTTTTTAACCACAAAAAGATCTCCCTATTTCCAGTTCCCAATATGCTTGTCTAACCTCAGATTTATGATTTTTATAAACACCAAGCACTTTACTTCTCAGGAACCCATACGTCTTGAATTCACTTGTCAAGACAGATCTCTGTCAAGGTCCCTCCTTAAAGACACATCAAGATGTGAATTCAGTTTTCTTTTTCTTTATGACATCTGTGAGAATGTTACATTGACTATAGCAACTCTTCTGACGTTTTCAAAAGATGGTATCATTTACCTTTGAATGGTGAAGACATGTTATCTTCCATGTCATACATGTTCCCATTGCCATTTTTTATGTCATACATATTCCTATAAATGGAGGGTAGTTGCTTAATAATGTCATAGCTTAGTCCGTGTCTCTCCAGTTTATCATAAGATTCCGACTGTAATAAATCATGGGATCGCTTGCAGCTGCTGCCAAATCTACACTGTCCCCGGAAATAGTATTGGCAAACATGCAGTTTGGTGCAGATCTTTTTATAGGTACAAGATCCATAAGGTCCATCACCTTTGTTATAATGCAAGCAGACCTTGAGCAAAATAAAAAATAAAAAAAAATTAAAAATTAAAGGTCAAAGTGGATTTTATGGTGTCACTACCCAAACTCTTTGGTTTTCTAGTTTTGGAATAGTGAACTTTTTTGACCTGAATTTGGTGACAAGACGTTCCAGATCTGACTACGATGGAGTTAACTTTCTTCATAGCAGACCATACCACCCTATGTTTTGGATTTGTGACTAAACCAGTGTTGATAACACACCAATACTTCAGATAGTGCTGCGCAGTGCTTGCCCAGTGTGGAGGCTTTCTCTTTTTCTCCACTCTGGCCTCTCCAGATTAGGTAGGCTGGGGGTAGACAAGAAGCTGAGAGAGGACACAGCTGGGACAGCTGACTCGTTCTGGTTTATCCCAGCAAGCAGCCAGGTTAAAACTCATAGATTCAGAAAAGGAAGCGACAATAATGATGATAAAAGAATATACAAAACATGTGACGCACAATGCAATTGCTCACCATCCACTGACCAATGCTCAGCCTGTCTCTGAGCAGTGGGCTGCCACCCCCTGACCAACTCCCCCCCAGTTTTGTTTTTCAGCACAACATATCCCTTTGGACAGACTGGGTTAGCTGTCCCAGCTGTGTCCCCTCCCAGCTCATTGTGTACCGCCAGCCTCTTCACTGGCAGAGCATGAGAAACTTGGAAAGTCCTTGACTCTGGGTAAGCGCTGATTAGCAACAACCAAAACATGAGTGTGTTATCAGCATTGTCCTGACACTAAATCCAAACACAGCACTGTACCAGCCACTAGGAAGAAATTTAACCCTATCCTAGCTGAAACCAGGACACAGTCCAAGTGGCCAAAGGGATATTCCACACCACAGAATATCATACTCCAAAATAAACTAAAAAAAGAAGGGAGGGTGCTGCTGTTTCTTCCATTTCTTCTTAGAAAGTGGCCCTCACTCAGGCACTTACTGCACATCAGTCTGCTTCTGGAAGATAGTATCTGAAGGGTGCCTATAGGGATGCTGGGGAGGGACTCTTCATTAGAGACTGTAGTGATAGGACAAGGGGTAACGGGTTAAAATTTGAACAGGGGAAGTTTAGATCGGATATAAGGAGGAAATTCTTTCCTATTAGGGTGGTGAGGCACTGGAACAGGTTGCCCAGGGAAGTTGTGAATGCTCCATTCCGGGCAGTGTTCAAGGCCAGGTTGGACGAGGCCTCGGGTGATATGGTTTAGCGTAAGGGGTCCCTGCCCATGGCAGGGGGGCTGGAACTAGATGATCTTAAGGTCCTTTCCAACCCTAATTATTCTATGATTCTATGATTCTATGGTGACTTTGCAACACTTGTTTTGTCCTCACTTTCCTACACTTGCTAAAACGTCTTTATCTCCATTAACAGATTTTGTCACTTTTTGTTCTTGTTTTCTCTCACCTGCTTTGCTCGGGGCAGGTGAGATGGGAGCAAGTGAGGAGGCTGTGCAAATGCTCAGCTGCCAGACAGGATCAACCCACCACAGTCGCAAACAAAGGCTACACATTTAAAGTTTTAGACTTGCATTATGCAAACAAAATTGACACCTAACCATCTTCATCTAGTATCAAGCCTCTTCCACTTTGCGATACTCACTGAAACACAAGGCCAAGAAAATCACCATATTACTCACCTCAGGTAAGAGGGAAGGATCATTCTGAAGCAGAAGCTGACGAAGTTCATCACTGTTTAAACTCTCAAGTCCATACTGTTTTAGAACCAAGAGATTGTGGTTCGAGTGGAAATTGTGAACAAACCTGCATTCCTTCCTACAAGTGAAAAAACCCAAGTACAAAACAAGTGTAACAGACTAGCACTATTTTGCTACCCCATCGGCATTACACTACAGAGTTTAAAAAGCACACCAAAATAGCTAGTTTCTGAAAAAAATCGGTATTGCTCCTTGATAAAACAATTATGTGATTTGCTAAGCAGATTACATAATTGCTATGAGGCTAACTGCCACGCTATTTCTGATTTACAGTCATGATAGCATTAGCATAGTCTAACAATATTGGCATTTTTGACCTGCAGCTTATAACTATGGGTAAGGAAGACACCAAAACGTCCCAGTAGCACCCCCTCCCATCCAAATCAAATCGACAACCACTCCCCACCTTCACCACGCAGCACAAAGTGCTCAGATCTCGGCGTGTGCGGGGAGGGGAGGCCTAAGCTTTCCCTCTCAGTCACGGAAGGATGGGGTGAGAGCATCAGAGACAGGGTTGTGAGCTGCGGAGGAAGCGTTGTAACCTGTGAAGCGTTAAAGCCTGTGTAACAACCCCCTATGCCTCTATCCTTTGGGGGAACGGGGAGGGGAAGTGGGGTAAAAAAGGAGCATTTCCAACACGGGAAGAGCAGAGGGGCCTTTCTTCACTGAAGGAGTCACACTCAGCCCAAGGCTGAGCCTCCCAGAGGCAGAGGCCCCCGAAACAAGCCGGTGCCTAGCACAAGCTCCCAGCCCACAGCTAGAGATGGAGGCGGCCGCAGCCACTCCCCCGCGCTGTGCCACGACGACTCGTTAAAGTAACATTCTTTTCTCTAAACCACTTCCTTCTCCCACAGCCGCGTTCGATGACGACTACCACCGGCAACAGGGCGGCCAATGCAGGCGCCCAGCTCCACTCTCCACCGCAGGGCATACGCGGCTTCACTTCGCGGCCCCCCGACGCTAGACGAAGCCCCGGCCCCTACAGGGAGGGGAAGCTGCCGAGGCCAGATGAAAACGGGCCGCGCAGTCTTCAACGGCGCCCGGGAGCAAGGAGCCGCACACAGCCTCCCCAGCAGGGGCAAATGTCCCCCGCCTGCCCTGTGCCCCGGCAGCACAGCGCGGGTCCCGGCCACAGCCCCTGACGGAACAGCGGCGATGGAGGCCGCCCCTACCTCTCGTACTGGTTGCGGCAGAACCCCTTCAGGTGGTACTTGCAGAGATGCAGCCGCCCGCACTGCCCATCGCAGCCCGCACCGTGCTCCTGGCACAGCCGTACGGGGCTAGTGGCCAACACCACCACCTCCGTCCCAGATCCCGCTGCTGCAGCTGCCGCTGGCGCTGCCGCCGCCTCGCTGGGCCGCTGCACTAGCGTGAACTGCTGCGTATCCTGCAGCACCAGAGCCAGCTGCTTCGCCGAGGGCCGGCCTGGCAGCCGCCGCTGGAGCTCGCCCTGCTCCAGGCAGCCGCCACTGGCGCACAGCAACTGCACGGCTTGAGTAGCCAGTGCCATGGCCACAGCGAAGCTGCCTTCCCCACCTGGACGTGTGCGGGTCGCAGGCAGCCCCACCCCGGACGCTCCGCCCGCCGGAGGCTGGGAAACGAAACCAGCGGCGGAGGACAGCCGTTCCAGGAAGCGGCAGAGCCAGAGTGGTCTGTGCAATGCTGAGGCAGTGCTGTGTTCCCTTTGGCTTGCTTTTTGCAGCCCCAGGATCTCCGGAGCTGTAGGCTTTGTAGCTTTCTGAACCCTTACCCTAACCCTAATTTTAATGGCATCTTGAAGCTGAGGTTCTCCAGCAGAACGGGTGTCCCAGATGAAAAAGGTGATAAAGGAGCAATGTCGGTGCAATGCTGTGCTCCCCTTGGCATATGTTTGGCAGCCTCAGTATGGGTTCATGAAGGACAGGTGCTGCTTGACCAGTCTGATCTCCTACAACGAGGTGACCCACCTGGCTGATGAGGGAAAGGCTGTCGACATTGTCTATTTCGACTTTAGTAAAGCATTTGACACTGTCCCCCACAGTGTCCATCTGGAGAAATTGGCTGCTCATGGCCTGGATAGGAGGACTATTCTCTGGGTAAAAAACTGACCGGATGGTCGAGCCCAAAGAGTGGTGGTAAATGGTGTCACATCTATTTGGCAACCAGTCACTAGTGGTGTCCCTCAGGGATCGGTTAGAGCCAGTGTTGTTTAGTATCTTCACTGATGATCTGGATGAGGGAATCGAGTGCACCCTCAGAAAGTTTGCAGACAACACCAAGTTGGGTGGGAGTGTCAATCTGCTGGAGAGTTGGCAGGTTCTGCAGAGGAATCTGGGCAGGCTGGATTGGTGGGCTGTGACCAGTGGTATGAGGTTTGACAAGGCAAAGTGCTGGGTGTATTGGTTAACAGCCAGCTGAATATGAGCCAGCTTGTGCCCAGGCAGCCAAGAGGCCAAATGGCATCCTGGCCTTTATCAGCAATAGTGAGGCCAGAAGGGCTAGGACAGTGATCATCCCCCTGTACTGGGTGCTGGTGAGGCTGCAGCTCAAATACTGTGTTTAGTTATGGGCCCCTCACCACAAGAGAGACACTGAGGTGTTGGAGCAGGTCCAGGGAAAAGCAATGAAGCTGGTGAAAGCTCTGGAGCACAAGTCTGATGAGGAGTTGCTGAGAGACTTGGGCTTGTTTAGTCTGGAGAAGAGAAGGCTCAGGGGGGACCTTATCGCTCTCTACAACTGCCTGAAAGGAGGCTCTAATGAGGTGGTTGTGGGTCTCTTCTCCAAAGTAACAAGTGATATAGGACAAGAGGAAATGGCCTCAAGCTGCACCAGGGGAGGTTTAGATTGGGTATTAGGAAAAATGTCTTCACCGAAAGGGTGGTCAGGTATTGGAACAGGCTGCCCAGGGAAGTATTGGAGCCACCCTCCCTGGAAGTGTTCAAATGAGGCCTTCAGTGACATGGTTTAGTGGTGGTCTTGGCAGTCCTGGGATAATGGTTGGACTTGATCTTAAAAGTCTTTTCCAACCCAATTGATTCTATGATTCTATGAAGTAATTCTATGGCGTGGGCTGTCTCTGTCCTCCTTTGTTCTGAAGACAGTCTTTCCTTAAGAGGCACAAGATATGAGTGCATCAAATGTGGCTTTTCAATACATTTTTTCAATAAAATATTTATTATTTTGTCTTCTGTTTCTTTCCTAATAATCCCTACTGTTTGAATTTGTTGATTGCTTTTGAGGTTGGAGTGTCACAGTTCTCTTGGATATCTCAATTTTACAGGACAATGCACTCTGTAAATTGAACTTTATGAGCTCATTAGGAAAGAAGACAAGCGTGTCAAAGAAGGGCTCAGTCCCCTTTTGTACAGACTTCTCTAAAATGTGAATTCACTACTCATCACTTCATTCATTCATGAAGTTTCTGACTCGCAGGTTCTCTAGCTCATAACTCATAACTTGTGTACCTATGAGCAGTTACCTAGCCAAGGGTGGCAGTGCTCATTCTTCCTTCTCTGTCACAGTGTGGGCATCCCTTGAATCACACCAGGAAGCACAAAAGCCCCATCAGTCTGGCTGCTGCTGGATTAGCTTCAAAAGCTTTTTGAATTAGCTGATATTATTACCATAAAATTGGATCAGAGAAACCATGTAAGACTCAATTTGGAGTTTTAGAAAACAGCATTCTTTATTGCAGCACTGGGTGCACATATTAATAATTTTGCAAAGGTGACCACACCCTTTACTTGCCAGCAGCAGCTATATATTCAGTATACTCGTGCATATTTACAGTGTTTCCAGGAAATTCTTTACATATGCATGAGACGTCTGGGAACTAATTATACTGTTTGCATCCTAATTATGCATGCGCTTTCTTGCTGCGTGGGGGTCTCTGCTGGTCGCGGATAGTCTTCCTCACTGTGTTTACCAAATGACTTCTCTGCCTGTGCACGCTCACAAGGTCCTAGTGCTGAGTTAGCAGTTGATATGCCCTTGCTTCTTTTCTGTTCCACATCAGGTGCCACTCTGCTATCTTGAAGGCCAGCATCTGTGGTCTTATTTACTGTCTTCTTAGTGGTTATCATTCCTGTGACATTCCTTCCTCCATCAGCTGAACATTCTTTTCTCTCTGTGTGTTAGCAAGTTAGAGCAGTTTGCTGCTATGTAAAGACACACACACTATTGTTAGTTTAAACGTCCAGTTTGAGCCTACAGTAGCATTTATACCTTCCAGCCTGTAAGTTTGGTCTACACCATTTCCGTAAGTTAGTGGATGTTGTGGTTTAACCCCAGTTACCAACTAAGTACCATGCGGATGTTTGCTCACTCCCCCCACGCCAGCTGGGTGTGGGGATGAGAATCAGCAAAAAGGCAAAACGTGTGGGCTGAGATAAAAACAGGTTAGCAATTAAAATTAACTATATTATCATTGTTATTGTTATTATTAATAATAATAATATTTTGCTAATCTTATTATTATTGAAAGGGGGATAACAGAGAGAGGAATAAAATCCAAGAAGTACAAGTGATGCACAATACAATTGCTCACCACCTGCAGACCAGTGCCCAGCCCTACCTGAGCAGGAATCAACCCCTCCCAGCCAACTCTCCCCAGTTTATGTACTGAGCATGATATTCGATGGTATGGAATACCACTTTGGCTAGGTCTGTTCAGATGTCCTGTCTCTGCTCCCTCCCTGCTTCTTGTGTCCCTCCTTACTCTCAGAGCACAGAAGTCTGAAAAGTCGCTGATCAGGATAAGCATTGCTTAACAGCAGCTAAAACATCAGTGCGTTATCGACATTATTTTCAGACTAAAGCCAAAACACAGCATTGTATGAGCTATCAGGAAGAAAATGCACTCTATCCATTCCAAATCAGGACATTCTGAAGAAACTTCTAGAGGATTAATATGGAATAATTCAGAAGACCATGGCTGCAGGAGACGGCAGCTGTAGGTGGTGACAGCTAGATAATGACCTTTATCTTTTCCTGTCCATTCTGGCCTCTGTGTGTGTTGATCTTGCTTTGAACCGATGGTGCTGCTCTCAGCATATGAGTTGGAGCTGGTGTTTACAGAGAATGATCCCATTTCCCTAGACCTTATTCCTGACTGGTAGTAATTCAGAAGCCGTCACTATCCATATGAAGACAGCATAACTTCTTCCTTCTCATCTAAATCTACGCTGAATTTCAGCTGTTGTTTCATCATCCAGTGTACTATAGGGTCATTCATAGCTTGCCATAGTCACTCCTTTCCTGAATAATATAGTATTCTTGTCATATCTTCCTATGTTAGCCTCTTTTCCTGATGATTTATGAATATGTTGACAAGTGCAGGGCTGAGCAGGCCTGCCCTGGGAGACTGCCCTCTGCTGAGGAGAGCTTTAGGAAATCTAAGTCAACTGTACAAACTCTTCTGACTCTTGCCTACATACTTGTTGATGACTTCAAATAGTTCCCGTGTGTTTCTGAGGCATAAATTTAAAAAGGCCTTGCTGGCTGTTCCTTAATATTTTCTATTTCCAGTACCTTCTGTTCCAAATTGTAGTTTTCAGTGATTTGGCTTTTTGCTGTGCAATTCTCAGGATCCCCCCTGTGATCCAGGTGCCACATTTGCTACTGAAAGTCTTTTGACAGCTAAGCACTTCTGAGTGAGAGATCAGACACCACAGATAGTAGCAGTTGAGATAGAAAAGTTGAGATTGGAAGGGACCAAAAGAGGTCATCTGGTCCAACCCCAAATTCGGCCATTTCCCTCCTGAATTGTTAAGAACATGGGGGGAAGCCTCATAATTTTGGTGTTTTGTCTAATGTTTTCAAATTGTTGTTTAATGTTGTATACTGCCATGTCAGTAAGAGGTATCTTGACTGAAGCAAAACTTAAGAAACCCTTTTGTGTAAAGAGCATTGAAGCCAGCATGGTGCTAAACATCTCCCATTCTTCCCACTAGGCCTCCATTTACTTTTTCTGTTTAGTACCCTAAATTTATCCTATCTAACTGGTTCTGAGCCTTTTACATCTTAAAGACCTTAAAGCACCACTGTGCTGTCCAGGTAGCTGTTTCAACTGCACTACACACATCCTTTCTTCACGCATCTAAAAAGTCCCTCACTCATTTGACAGAAATACAGCATATTTCTCAGCATAAAATAGGTATGAACGACAACACCAATGCAGATCTCAACATTAGAGTGAAAGAAGTACAGAGGAGAGCAGTGTAAGGTCAGGGTCAAGGGCGTATTTGCAGGTAGCTGTGCACCATTGCAATTGATTTGAATGTGTTGCTGTGTGTATCACAGGGAAGTTCACATTGCTGTTCCTGCTTTGCAGCTAGAATGAGTTTTTCGAGGCTCTGGAGCAGAGCTATCATTCTATCTCTTTTCCCAAGAACAAAAGTAAACTGAGGAGAACAGGCTATGATGCATAGAGGTTTGCAGAGCTGCTTTTGAATTTAAGTACCTTCCCATTGCTGAACACATAGCTGAAGTAAATCATACCTTACTCCTTATCACACAAGTTTCTTGTAGTTTGTTTTGTGGCATGTTCCTCAGGAAGAAAAAAGGTACCTCTTTGATTTGATAGAACTTCCCCACCTATGAATTA